GCAATTGTTGCAGCCTTATACCTTGCTATCGGTTAGTATCGTTCTTTCCTCTGCGTCAGTTTGCAGCGTTTTAGCAGGTCTGGCTCGCAAGTCGTAACTTATCCCATTCCCCGACACGGGGATCGCCGGGATCACCGCGTAGGCTCACTTGAGTGGATTGGCTAATGGAACAAAATGTCAAGTCCAGGAACTAGCTCAAGTGGGATTACTTGTACGTTATGTTGTTTGTTTACCGGGGTTAATAAAACCCTTGTTTGTTGCGGGAGTGACCCCCTTATCACCGATTTGGCGCACGTCCTCGAAGAAGATGTGGCCCAGGCTTAGCAGCCACCCGCAGAGCGGCTCGATGACCACCTAGCGACGGTTTTGGTGTCGTGCACCAAATGGACCCAATTTAGACGATGCTCCTGAGTCAAACTATGGCTCTATTGAGCCCCATTGTTGTGATGGTGGGAACTCCAGGGACTACCTGTATCAGGCAGGGAAACCTGGGGTAGCACCCAGAGATGATGGCTACTGGATTCTTGGGTCGAACCTCATACAAGCAGGTTTGGGCCGGATTTCTTCTTGAAGAGTACCCCTTTGCCGTGTGGCTGGTCTGGTGCGTTTCAAAAATGGCTTTAAAGGGGACTTCTTTCCAGTTCCTGTGAGGTGGTTCGCCTGCGGTCAAACCGCCTGCTGTGGCCCAGGTAAGCAAATCAATTTCTGAAGCCCAAGTCCAGGTTGTTGGGCCCACAAAGGCCAGGCCCAAACGGATCCTTCGATTTTGGCCTGTGTGGGGTGCTTCAAAGACCTGAGTCACAAACGGAACTCTTTCACCGTGGCTTTGGTCATTGGTGGTCTGCAGTCCGTCCACTGTCGTCTTCCAGCTCTTGCAACCAGTAGTTGTCGGGAAAAACTAGTTCAAGAGGACCCTCTGTTGACAATATGCAAAATGGTTGCTGCCCTTAAAGATGCCCTCCCATTTCTGTGGTTTTCCAGGACGCCCACCCCAATCAAATTGAGCACACCATCCACCAAAGCAGTACCCGACCAATGACAATAAAAAGTCCGACGCTCGCAATCATTTACAGAATTAACAGTCGCCTTCGGTGTTTCCGCAAAAAAAGGCGAGAAATATAGAACCCAACGAATCAAACGTCAGCGAACTCCTTTTCAGGCCCCTTGTAAAGAGCTCCAACTGACTTGGCAAAAAAGTCAGCCAACCCGCCAGCTGAGCGGAAAGCTTGCTTCGCAACTGCAAAAGATGCAAAACCGCGCGCTGCGCAGAAACATGCCCTTTTTGTCTTCGCCCTTTCGGGTGCAGAAGCGCTTGAGCGTCTGCTTGAACTTCTGAGCCTCGGTGGCTGCCGCGGAGCCAGTTGCCAATGTAGATAACCAAGGGAGAACCCAGTGGCAACTGAGGAATGCTGTGGATGTTCAAGAAACCCAGTTCTTAAGCTGCCCACAGTGATGGCAGGTTTCGGGGCTGCTGACATGGGCTCAACTTGTTGAGCTTCAGCTTGCTAATCCGGGCAGAAAAGTTACCGCCAATATGTCTCTCTTATCAAGACTAATTAATTGTTTTATTGTTTTTTTGGCTTTTGTTTCTCTCTTTTTTTAAAGTACCCCATAACCTCATTCTATTTAGGCCCAAACGGCAATTCTCCGAAACAAGAAAAAGGTGGTCAAGAACCCCCCCCCCGGCCAAAAGGGGCAACAAGCCAAGACAAGTGTGAAAGGGTTTCAGAGACATCTCCTTTTGGGATCGGAAACCATGTTGCGTGGCAAGTAGGCTCCCCCCTTCCACTCACAGTTACTGGCCTGTCTCATGTCATCCATTTGCCGTTGAACAAACAGAATATAGAAACAAGTCAATCATGGTTGCAATGCCAGCTTGGTTGCAAACAGCCCATCTCCAGCATCCCATCTCAGGCGTATCTTCTTATCTTCCCAACCCTAGGAGACAGTTTTTGCTCTGTGCAGCCGTTCTGCAAACCCATACTTTAAATCAGAACCGTCAAAGTATCAAACAACAACTGGGGATTCTCAAAATGGAAATCGGTCCCCTAAAATTGGTTGGTTGCCGCAAATTCGCAAATCCTCACGGAAATGGCGTCCACCAAAAATGGGCTCAATCAACTAACTAGCGTACCAACCGTAAGTTTCCCATCTGGACAACTTCCAAGCAACGTCTCGAACGTGTTGAAACCCAAACAGTTCAACCACCCTTTTTGGGCGCGGGGCATCGGCATGGCCAGCCACCAGCTCTTGCCTGGCGCGGAGCTTTTTGAAAAAGGGGCGAGCAAGCTGCATGGGTGTGTGTCTTTTTTTGGGGGTGCCCTGTTCCGTTGGGTTTACCAAAGGGGCGCATGGGTTTATTTTTGTTCCTAGGTTCGGCGGGGCGGTCCCAACCCAGCAAAGCCGCAAAGGGTTGACCTTTTCGACGAAGCTTGTTTCCAAAACGCAGCAAAGTCGGCAGCGGGTTCACTGCTTCGAACAAGCTTGGTCGCAGAAAGCTACAAACTCCGAGGGGGTTCACCTTTAGCTTGGTCGCCAAAAGCGACAAATTCTGTAGAGGATTCACCTTTTCGAAGAAGTTTGCTTCTAAAAATCAGGTTCATTCTTTTGCAGAACCTTAGTCGCAAAATCCACAACAAAGTCCGCAAAGGGTTCGAAGAAGCTTGTTTCCAAAACCAAAGTGCAGCAAAGTCCGCTGAGGGTTTGGTTGTTCAATTAAGCCTTGTTAGGGCGGGTTTGGGCGGGGGCGGGTTTTTGGCTGGTTCAGGTTGGCTAGGTTAAAGGTTGGTTTAGTGCTGGTTTAGGGTTGGTTTAGGGCTGTTTTAGGGTTGGCGGTTTAGGGTTGGTTTGGGGTTGGTTCACGGTGGGTTTAGGGTTGTCGGTGAGCATCAAATGAAAGGCAAGAACTTTCAAACAAGGCAATACACAAAAATACAGCTATCCCTAAGCGGCTAGTGCCATCCGAGGTCAACATTTTAATGTCGGTACCCGATAAAATCAAAGGGTGCCAAACTCAATATGTTTCCAAAATTATTATCTACCCGCAAAATGAAACGGGGTACCTAGTACATTAGAGCGTTTTTTGCTCGGCAAATATGGAACTTGATCCAAAAAAATGTGCTTTGCCCGGAATTCTTTGGACACCCGCCCCGAAACTCTCGATCTCCTTACATCTCCTTTATGCAAAAGCGCTCAGCCAACAAATGTCCAAAGGGGCAGTACACGCCCAAACACTCAAGAGTAGAAATGAAAAAGGTGCAACCGTCCCCGGGCCGCCCCCCGACCCCCGCCAGAAAGTAGTTCCCCCTCTCTCTCTATATCTCTTTCTCTCTCTCCCTCTCTCTCTCGCTTCCTCTTCTTATCCAGTACTTCTTTCTTCTGAGCACTAAGAAAGCCAAAACATTTCTGCAAGCCACACCCATCCCCCAAACTGCAAATGACCAAGGGCCAAATACTCAATAATCAACATGAAAAAGGAGGTATCCAATTCTGCAACTGCTTTCCAGGTAGAGAAACAACAACTACGAAACCCATATAGACTAAACCAATAAACCAATACTAAGCTAGTACTAAGGCAGCACAAAGCAATACTAAACCACCACTAAACCGATACCAAACCAATTCTAAACAGCACTGGGCCCGCTCAGAGGAATGCTCAAACAGTTCAAAACCAGTACTAGGCAGAGGGGACCGAAGAGGACCGAAGACAACCGAAGCAATACTAAACCAATACAAACCAATAGTGTGCCTACTAAGGAAGCACGAAGCAATACTAAACCAATACTAAACCAATACTAGCTGATTCTAAGCCAGTACTAAAGCAGCACAAAGCAACTCTAAACCAATACTAAGCCAATATCAACTACTCAGTCAATATTAAACAGGGGAAGAACCAATCTGACCCCTAAATCGGTTTACCCGGTTTACCGGTTTTCCCCTTGTGGATCCCCGATTTCTTTGCTTTCCTTTTGTTTTTGCCGGGGGGGGGGGGGTCCGAGGCTCCGCCATTCGACGCCAAACAGGCCAGCGCGGCACGAAGCGGGCCTTGCTCGCGTCCTGACGTGTACAGCGTGCCCTGTTGTTGTCTTTTAGCATCCCCAAAAAAAGGAAACAAATCGAAACACCCAAAGCCAAGTTGCAAGCCACAAGGGTGGGACTGGACTGCACCAGCTAGGTATCTGGGCAAAACACAAAAGAGCCTGGCGTCTCCAAAACCCATTGGACATGGGGGGGGGTGCGTAAAAAATGATGAATTCAAATTGCATCACCTTGATTTGACTTTGAACATGACTCGCGTTGGCAAATTGTGACAAGCTTACCTTGGTTGAAAAGGTCTTGGGTAGTCAAGATGAACCCAACAACTCAAACACCTGCCAGCTTGCACCCATTGGGCTGTGATCAGCCTAGGTTATGGCTCTTTGTGTCAATATCTGTTCTAGTTCAATGGTGTCATGTTGGTCTTTTGAAACCGCTCCAAATCAACAAGCGGTTTCTCTTGGCTTGAAACCAGGGCTCTCAACAACAGACGCATAAAGACTCAAAGAAGACTTTGAAAGGGTCCTGAAAAGAAGCTTGACGTTGTTTAGTTGGGTTGCCACTCTTTCGGAAGAAAAGCCCAACCCCCCGACTCCCAACCGGGTCCCTTGGCGCTTCGCTGGTTCTCTGCCGACTGAAGCACCCCGGCGGGGGTGGTGCGTTGACGCACTCCCCGGCGGGGTGGTGCGTTGACGCACAGAACCTAATGGATGCAAGATTCACCCACATTTACCTGTCAAATGTGGGACAAATATCATTATGGATTGTGCGGGGAATGGAGTCTGGAGATGGAACACCAAGCCCGGGAACGCTCCTACAATTTCCGTTCATTCAGCAGGTTGCCAACACTACCAGGCAAACCTGCCCCTCTTCCGCTTGATGGCTCCCACCTCCAGCGGCCCTCATCCAAATAAATTGCCAAAATAGAAGTGGCCATGGCGCCATGGCTCTGCTCACTCCGTGGCTCAACTGCTCATCCGCCGTAAGCGCTTCCATTGGCTCGGATCGATGCCACTCATGTCCATGAGGGCGATGGCGTCCGGCGGAAGGTCCGCCTCCTGGCAACCCAGACATCGCTGGAAAACCCGAGTGGAAAAGCGGAAAGTGTCCAGAAACTCGGGCACTCGGCGTTTGTTCCTAGAAAACCCAGCTGCCAAACAAAAGACTAGAAAGATTGCCAAAGCAGGACCAACAGGGAGAAGAACCGGTGGAATCCAAGCAAGGTGCATCCCAATCGCGCTCCAGGCTTTTCTCCAAAGTGACCACAAACGATTCATGGTATATACTCATGAGTGCAAACAAAAATGTTGATGTATGCACGTCAGTTGTGGTACACGAGGGCGCCTTCCGGGAAAACTTAAAGCCATCTCACAAGGATTCCCATCTGAGACAGGCCTCCAACTGAGACTCGCAGAAGCGCCAGCCAAAAATTGTAACTGAGCACTTCCCCCTCTAAAAACACCGAACACCCTTGTGGAGATGTGAACATCACATGAACTCACGCGAAGCGATAGCATGTTGGCATGGCCTAACATGGAATCCTGAAAAGGGCCCGACCCCGAAATCCGAATGTGGTTGTCTCCACATTGATGGGCCCTCTTGGTTTTCCATCTGATCTTCAGGGAAGTAGAAGGCTTCGCCCGTGAGCACGTATACGTCCAAAAATACAAATGTGCAACTTCTTTAGTGGATGGTCCCAAAAGAGTCCAAACTCTGTGTTTAGTACTTAAATGGTCCTCCCGAAATAGTTTGAAGCACAGAATCTCGGGAAGCGGGACATACACATACTAATCTATGAATGGGCGGTCACCATGAAGTAAACAAACACATCATACCGCGCAAGGCCAGTGGAGTCAAAGCCAATCTCCCCAAACGCAACGAGCAAAACAACAGTTTTAGAGATTGATTCCTCATTCTTTCTATGCATTGCCCGTTGACACCAGGCGCTGGGCTCGTGGTTCTACGGAAGAATCCGGAGACCAGAATATTGGGGTGTTTCTCTTGGCTTCCCTGACCAACCCAACCCAAGGGTACTTTCAACGGGCTTCGTCTCAAAAGGACCCCTTCTTGGATGGCTGCAAAGGGAAGCCAAAAGCAAACCAAGCACCTAAACACGTCTCACACACAAACAAATACATTGGGGCAATCATTGGGGCATACCAAACCACTTGTGCTTTCAATCTGTCTTCCCGTCAAACCAACTACATCAAACCCCAGCCCTTCGATTCGTCCAGGCACATAGTCCAGCTCGGGGTAGAGCCCCTCGTCCGCGGTGTAGGCGCAAGAGCCCAAGATTGCCAATGGCAGCTGCACTAAGCACATCATGAAGCCTCTCAGGGATCCAGTCCTAAAAGGAGTCTCAAGTAAGGATGCGAATGCCTCTCGAGTTGCCAAAAGGTTCCCCCCAAAAGGGAGGTTCCGTTACCCTCCAAGTTCGAACAAGATGCTTCCCCCCGCCCTGGCCCCGCGTCCCGGAACCCTTCTCAGAACCCCTACCTCAGAGAGCCGCCCCGGACAGACCCCATAGCTTTCAGCTGTTGCAACACCCCCAACATACGAAAAACAAGACACGAGTGAGCCAGGGCCGGCATCGTTCAAGGGAGACGCCTGTTGAAAAAGAACGCAGCCCAGCTAAAGCCTTGACCCGAGCCCCAGCTGGTTAGGGGAACCAAGTGACCATCCCAAGAGGCTTCCAGGGATCATTCCATAGTTGGACACAGGGGTAAGATCCTGACTTTTTGGGATTGCCAGGGCACGATCCTCCCACTTTCAGGGGAAGGTCATGGTATGGTCCCCATTTTTGGCGATCCTTTCCTGATAACGACCTCCCCACCTTCAGGCGAAACACCTGGTGTTCAAAAAAGACGGTCATAACGCGGATCATCCCCACGACCCCACCCCCAATCATGGAAATAACCCCCTGAAGAGCACTGAACAACTGGGATTCCATCTTATCAGATGACGCCCTTACCCGAAAATTAAGTTGATTGTGTATTTGTGCTTGAGAGCATCCACAAATGTCCACCATTGGGGGAAACCAAAAGGAATGCTGCTTAAACAGGGGTGATTTAAGCGGGTTTAAACAGGGGGCTGGCCCATCCTTGCAGTGTTCCATCTACTCCGTTGGCACAATAAAACCACACATCTCATCTGCCCACAGGGCCTGGAAATAATATGTTAACCCCAAACGGCCAGTGGATTTCCATGGGGCAAAAAGGGCACCCTTCGTTGGTAGTTCCGCCACATTGGGATACCCCTTGACTTGCTTCCTGAGTGGGCTGGGCAAAACAAGTCCAAAATGGCTGGTTGCCACTTAACTAGTCCTACCAAGAAGTGTCAGGTCGGGTAACTCCATGTAGGGACATCAAAAGAGTATAGAGGACACCAATACTAAAGAAGCGAGACAACAGTGCCACAAACCACCCCCATCCAGCCGTTCAGGATGGACACGTAGAATTGGTTGGGCATCTCCCAGCTAGGGCCCTGCAAGTTCTCCGTGACCAACCTCGCCGCTCACGGCCAGATTCAACACCTCTGCCTCTGTCTGCCCTTTTCACAGTTTGCTTGGGATCTCTCCGCAGGATAAAGTGTTTTGTTTTTTGTAGCTGGCAGCTGGGACGCTTGGTGGCTTGGATGCTTGGCTTCTTGCTTGCTTGCTTGCTTGGCTGGCTGGCTGGCTGGTTGGTTGCTTGGTTGCTTGGTTGGAACAAAGGTCTGGGGTCCTACCGCGCTTGCACCTTGGTTCTTGTTGGTGGGGAAAAAACATTGACGGTGAATGCGTCAAAATACTCCAGCTGGCGGATTCTGTTGTTTTGTGCCTTTTCTCCGGTCAAACAAAAGAACCACCCACTTGAGGGGCTTAGCAGGGTCCTGTATTGGCCACATATGAGAAGGTCAAACATGCAAGTCAAGCTTTAACTTGTGATTGTCATTGCCAGCAAGTTGTGTCAGTACATAGCAAACTGGGCCCGACTTTCACCCTGCAAAAAGCTAGATGGTTGCTGGTTGAAAGTTGATGAAAACACCAGTCAAATGCGATCAAGTTGCAACAGGTGAGGCAAAATGATGAAACACCGATTTAAGGCAACAAACAGCTACGTATCAAAGGTGAGCCAAGTCGGGCAACGCAAACCACTGAAAAGCCAGACCAAAGAGGCGAGGAACTTGGGCACGATCATCCCAAGCAGCTTCACCGCCATCATCTGCAGCAGGATGAACCTGCGAACAGAAATGCAAAACAAACACCCGCAGCGTTAAGCAAAGGCACACACACACACACACCTTTCTAAACACCAAGGCAACAAAGGGGGCCAAATAATTCCCCGCGTGTGTCCGCCTACGAAGAGGTAGCGTTTGGTTTACTTGTACCCCACAAGTCCCATTCTACTTTTTCAGGCTCTTGCATTCAGCTTCCCTCTACTTGGTGATTTGAATTGGTGATTTGGAGGTCAGAGGATCAAAGGTCCCATTTACCCTCTCGAAGAACCAAGGGTTCAATCCCCAAACTAATTACAGGCTACCTGATGTTCACCTCTTGTCTCCTCTTATCTTCCAATTGCTTGAGTCCCCTGCAAAAAATAAAAGATGACTCCGGTAGTGATAGATTCCCTTGAAAAACAAGGTAACACGGCCTCTTGGAGCCCGGTGTAACACCGCTGTTTCGTATGGCCTGCGTGTGGAATTATCAAGACGAGGTGTTGCAAAACGATCACTGGGGACAAACAAGTGTGTTCGGGAGGAACCGAAGACAAAGCGATGCGAAAACGATCACTTTGCACTGGCGCTATCTTTTCAAAAACCGCGCCGCCTTGTGCATGGCTCTTTTTCGGCCATCTAGCTCTACTATATGCTCTTGGGCCCTCGCTGTGATCACGAACGTCAACCCCCCCCCCCACCCCCCTTCTATCAGGGTCAGTTTGCATGGTCCGAAAGGTCCCGATGGCTTTGGCTTTTTTGGGTGTCTCGAACTAGTCAAAAGGTCTCGGTGGTTTTTTACTGGCCTGCGCACGGGCTCCAAGAAGCCGTGTCACCAAAAACAACAGGGGACAAACAACAAATTAATGGTCTTAAACAAAATGGCAGTCATAGGCAAATTCCCAAGAAGCAAAAGGCAAACCTTTGCCTGGGATGTCGCGCGCCTCCTTCCTGATAGAGCCCTATTCACTTCCAATCGAGTGGATTGGACAAGAGTCTAAACTGTGTGTGTCACCCAAATGGGTGCGCATTTTATTTGAGGGGACCTCTTGTTGGGTGGTTTTAAAGGAAAGCCACCAATTTTGAGTGTCCCCCATACGCAAACCAGTACAAGGCTTTCCCAAAAGGTACAAACCTCAGGAACTCAAGGAGTTAGCCTCTCGTCGACATCCCCGCACAGCATCCGCACAAGCAGGAGAGGGGCAGTTTCCGGTTCCATGATACCTTGGCAAATCCCTCATCTGCATGACGATGCAATCCGCATCTGCTTCAATAGGCGTTTTTGTCTGGTTGAGGTATCATGCTCCCCAATCGAACGTGAGGGAGTTTCCGAGCAGGTTCTTCTATTATCTACTTGAACAATTACCCCCCTACCCCCAAAAATGGTGGTTTTCTTCTGACCCGCTGGAAACAATAAACAACAAAGAAAGAATTGCCAAATCGCATCTGCAAACAAAACTGCAATTCCAAAACTGCCCACTATCCCAGGTATGGGTTGGTCTCGGGTGCAAAAGCGGAAAGGGAGCCCCTCACGTGTCGCCACCTCCGACTCGGGTTGAGCTCAATCGACGGCCGGGCCTCTCCATAGCTGCCACTCGCCCAGGGTCCAAATCCTCGCACAAGCGCCACAAAAACGGATGGACGAAACTCCAGCTTGGTGTCGCTTCTAAAGAAAACGGACACAGATGAACTAACCAATCTTTCCATAGGGATCCGGGACGAGGTTTGCCTAACTGGGAGCGTTGAGGAGACAAACTACTCTAGCAGTCAGACAGGTTTTGCCGAATTCTGATAGTTGGCCTTTTCTCATGGCCACTGGGGGCTTCTGGTTTCACACGGATCGACTGGGAATTGTCTCCCATGCTGTGGATGACCCAAATCCACGCCAGCCACCTGTTGGATGGATGAAACCAAACACTGGAACATATCAATTGGTGCAAGGCGTGCATTCTGTCCATCAACAGTTATTGAGTGTTTTTGTTAGGCCGTATTCACTAAGGTCGAAGCATCTGTAGGGTCAGGTTTGCATATCAAGATGGGTCCACTGGTGCAAATTGTCCTTTGGTAGAATCTTTTTTGTGGCAAATATGTGTGTCGGAGGAGACCTGCGCGGTTTTTGGGGGCCAACCACATATCCAGTAAGGCATACAGTCTTCAAAGGACATTCTTACAAGGGGTTGGCCCATCGCCAAAACATACCTTTTCAATAAACCCCTGCATTTTGTTCCAGATTAAAATATCACTACGTTAAGGTATGTGTTTAAGTAAACACACATTATTGTATCTTATTGGTTCTATGTGCTTCCTTCAAGCGACTTCAAGGCATGGTTCCAGGAGGATGTGAACTGCTTCCTTTCATTTTGAGGGCAAACCCTCTGATCTTGCTCAACCCATGTGGGGAACCAACAGGAAGGATTGGAAGAGGCTTGAACTTCCTCTATGCTCTTTGCTTTAGCAACAGGAACGACAAACGTGTCATGAATCCTTTTCCTGCCCTCTCTGAACGAACGCCTCCTTCAAATATCACCCCAAGGAAGCCCTCACTTTGTCCGGTTGCAATCCCTCGACCTCCGCTCAAGGCGGCACACGGTAGACCCGCAAAGATGAAACTAATAAAATCCCAGGGCTCGAAAGTCCTTTCGGCTTCCTAAATTCTCTTTGGAAAGGGGGTGGAAACAAATTTGGGACCCCAGGCGAGCAGCATTGCACTTGCTTGGGAAGAAATAATCAGTACAGAAAAGCTCATAACAAATACTTGATTCCAGACTCCGAAACGCAGCATGCGTATGCATCAATACTCCAACAGACTGTTTGAGACAGGCACAAGCTAACATAAAAACTGTTTTGTGTTCGCTCCTTGCTTCTCCCTGCTCCATCTGTTGCTTCATTTTGGGCACCAAGCCACGTTTTCCGAAAGGGGAGCGAAGCGTGGCTGATGTCCTGTTGTTTCGCCTTCAAACATCCAAGCATGGGGTTCCTAGTTTGGAAACATCAGCGCACTTTCAACCCGCACCAGGCAAGTAGATTAGTGTACAACCATTGTGGCAACACCCTCTAACCTGACGTGGATTGAACATCCAAGCGGTCAAAAGAAACTTTCAGAATTATGCCTTGTTGCTGATCATTGCAGTTCTTTCAGGCTCCCGGCTTGGGTTGTTTGATTAACAATAAGGCCATACAAGCACCGGGCCACCCATTTGGGTATGTGTCAAAAAAAGGGGGACCCCAGAAATGGTGTGTTTGCGTTTGGTTTCCCTTTCAACAACAAATAGGCATGCCCATAAACAACACAGGGACGCACCCACGCGCACGCGCACACACAAACACACATGTTGTTGTTTGTCCACTCGCACCGGATTCCCCAGAGATGGCTCCGCGTCTCCCCGGTCCTCCACGAAGATGGTGTCTGCGATGAGGGGCAGCAAACATTTGAAGCTCCACAGGCCAAAGAAGGTGCTCAACCTGCAGCTAGGGACCAAGTGAGCTGAGGCTTGAAGAAAACCCAGATCTCTAGGAAAACTGGAAGCCCCATGAGGCAAACATAAAATTAATATGATGCTTTAGGGGAAACAAGAAATAAAGAAATGCTTCCTGAGTGGATTGGCCAAGCAATATCCACAATGTTGGTTTAGTGCTAAATGGTCATCCAAATAGAAGAAAGTCCAGAAACATACAGGTGCTCATGCGAAGGATAAACAGTACATGGTGATCGCTAGAGAAACCCAGATCCCAAAGCACGGGGGTTGGACAATGCCAGTTGATCCAACTTGAAACCCAGAAGCCCTTCGGCGAAGTTGACAGATTTGGGTAGAACCTTTTGGTCTACTCAAAGTGAAACTCGCGGTTCTGGCCACCCTGTTTGGGTTCCCATGGCCGAACAAATTCCCTGATCCCTACGGCAAGGTTGGCAAGGATCCCTTGAACGTTTTTTAGAAGGAAACCAAGGTGAAGTGCTGTCAATTGATCAAAGGGCACATACTTCTGGGTTCCCACGAATCCTAAGCTCAGACAGCAGTCAACAGTATTGGGAGCCGAGGGCGACACAGGTTGGCTACTTGAAAGGCCATAGACAGAAGGGACGCGAAAAACTGGAAGGTTGCACTTTCAAAGCTTTGTTGGACAGAGGGCAGCTGTGCAAGTCTTGGTGTGCTTGTGCGTGTGTCCTTGCGCGGCACTGTACTTCTCTTCGAGGTCTCACTTGAGTTGGGCCGAATACCGCAAGCCCTCCTTGTGACCCACATCCAAGTGACTCAAGTCCACCTCCAAGGGGTGGACGCCGCATCTCTCCAAAAACGTGGTCGAAGGCTCAGGGTGGTTTCCCATTTGCGTATGTGTTGGCATCTGTCTTGTCCTTTAGGCGCCCCTCCCAACAAAAAAAACATGTGTTTTCCGATGTAGAAACCACCTCAAACAGAATTTCAACCCCAAACCATTCGAAACCACCAAGCAGCCAACAGGGCACCAGCCCACGAAAAGAAAGCTCACCAATCGTTTTGACCTGTCCAAAAGTTGATGTTGACAACCATCCTTTATCTAGTTGGAATCCTGTCCAAAACAACCAGAAACACTACCACTTGAATGGGATTGTCTTGGTATCACACAAACTGGTTCTAATGCCCAGGTTTCCATAACCAAACTAATGGTAGAAACTAGCTAATTATAGGACATTCTGCAGGATAGTGACCAAATAGCCACCAACACAAGTTGATGTCCTGTAGAATTTCCCGGTGTGCTAGGTTCTCAGAAAGGAACAACGACGAGGGGGGTAGTATACCATTCACCCTCCACAAGAGGCAGGGGTTCAAACCCTCAATCCGGGATATCCAAAGACAAGACGGCAATCCAAAAAAACAGAGAAAAACAACCTCATCACTAAGAGATTCCCTTGGTAACGACCCCGCTGTCCGTCTTCAACCGACCCTCAAACCCAGTCAAACCCGTAAACAACCTTGAGGAACGATGCCGATGGCTTCTGCCGAACTCGAGCGCCACTCGGCAAACATTGAATCCATCAAGGCGCGCCACGATGGTTCCCAGGACTTTCAAGGTGTCAGCGTCTTCCACCTGCCAAAAGGCGGGGGCCCAAGCTCGAGACATCTGGCAAAACAAAATAAAAAATAAATGGCTATATACATTAGACAGACTTCTTTCGGCTAGTAAAAAACCGAAATGTTCAAAAGGTCATAAAACCCCGGATGAGACAATGTGCTCAATGTCAAACCTCCAAACCGAGGACGCCTCCGAATGCAAATACAACACATCCCGAATAGGTTTGGTGTGCTTTGGGGCGGGGGGGAGTGTAGGAGCCGTTTTATGTGCTTTTGTTTTTGCGGCAGCTTCTGCACAAAGCAACTTTATGTTGTTTTACATTCCATTTCTTGACTACTTACCCAAAAGAAAGCCAGCTTGCAGCGTTTTACCTTTGCATTTGTCGCCTAATCAAAAGAAGACAGCTGTCCTAAGAAACAGTTAGTACTGATTGGAGTTGCGACCTGTGGGCGTGGAAGGTCTGAAGGAGGTCTGTAAACCTTCCCTACTACCAACGCCCCCAAACAAACAACAAGCTTAGGGATGGTTCAATCTCTGTCAAACCAAACATGCGATGTGGCTTGGGCTTCCAACACAACTTAGGGATGGTTCAATTTCCGCCGAAAGCGCATGAGGTTTGGGTTGGGCTTCCTGTGGCGGCTGGGGGGGGGGCGGGGGCCGAAAGCAAAATCAAGGCCGTGAAAGGACGAGTATAACAAGAAACATGTGTGTCTGTGTGTGTGTGTGTGAGTACTACATGTGGCACATGATACATGTGTACTTTATGCATCGCAAAGTTTCGAGCATTGCGATGTGAAGGGCAAACCTTTTAAACCTTTGCTGCCCGACCGATACGTGTGAGCTTCAGGTGTGAGAGAAGCGCCGCACGCGCAGACACACACACACACACACACACACACACACACACACACACACACACACACACACACACACACACACACACACACACACACACACACATACACACACACACACACACACACACACACACACACACACACACACACACACACACCCTGTTTCGCTCTGTTTTGGTCATCTCCAAGAAGGTAGGTAGGTGTCTGTGTTTGTGTGTGAGGGTGGGGTGTTCGGTGTGTTCGGGCTTCCCCCAAAGAACAGGTGTGAAAAAGGAGAGTCCTCAAACACAAGGATGGCTTGCGCTTGTTCTATCTTTCTCCATGCCCAACCCACGAGGAAGGGACGCTCTACGTATTGCCAGGAGCTTTGCGGCGCTCCTTGGAATCAGCAGCGCTTCCTACACACCGCTTGTTCCCACGGGGCTCCAACAAGCCCAGGAAAGGCGCTGTTCCGACCTCTCCGGCATGTAATTTCTGGCGAGTGCTTCCCGAAGTTACGAGTTGAGTCAGCAATGCCCAATACCGAACATGAGCCGGGGGAAGGGGGTTCCCTACGATCTTAACCCAGAAAGAGTTTGCGCCAATTCTGATCATTCCCCAGCCCAGGGTCTTTAGCAGGAAACAGAGATAGTTCACCCTGAAATCCCGAACCAAGTAAGGGACCTTCATGGCTTGTCGCTCGTTTTACCAGAGCTTGTTTCAAGTTGCGTGTGTGGTGGTTGTTTTTTAAGGCGCCCAAGAATTGCATGTCGGCCTTCTGTTGGTTCCCCTTCCAAAAAAAAACTGGTTCCCTCAAACAACACACACCTATCACCAATAAAAATTGGTTTTGGCTCCGCGCCTCACCCCTTGTCTGGAGGTACACGTCAATGGCACCCACCATAGGCATGATGCACACAAACTGCCTGCGGCGATGGGGTCAAAGCGTTGGCCAATCCCAATATCCCAATCCATACTGTGGATGGACGAAATCCTCTTAGGCACCACCTAAGAGACCCTGGAATTATGCTTCCCCTGTAAATATCAACAAACAATGGTTTTTCATGGTTTCAAAGTGGTGTGCGAAATGGATTTCGTCCATCCACTGTAGGGAAACGTTACCCAAAAGAAAGGGTCAGGATCATGGAGACTCCCCTGACTTCCTGAGTGGGTTGTCACAAAGACAAGTTCAAACCTTGCTGTTTACCACAAATGGTCCAAACCCTAAAAGTATTAAGTTAATTAAGTCCAGAAACTTGGGAGGTGAGACACCACTGAAGGAAGGTAAACTTTCTACCCCTGAAAGAGGATCATTGTAAATACGCCACGGTCAATATTCATTTTGTCCACTACTGACAGCACTGAGTTTCGGTGAGTAACCCGCATTGTAGCGTGGTGTGCCGTGATATACGATCGTAGATTGCAGTAGATATTGATCAATGCTCAAATTACTAAATGGCTTATAACACAACAGGTGTTTCTCAAACTAAAAATTCAACCCCCCCGGCCCCCACCCTGCGCAATGGACAGCTATGGAGTAAGTGATAGAGGCTATTTGCATGAACCCTAAAAGAAGGAGGTTGCAAAATGGACCTGTTCGGTGTCCATTAGAATTACCCCGTCAGATTGGTTTGTATCCTTTGGCTTCCCTTTGAACACCAACCAAAAGGAGGTCCGCCCCTTTTTAGGGGTCCCCTGCAGATCAACATAGAACCTGGTTTTAGAGGAAACTCCTTTTGGGGGGTCTTTCCTTCTTTTCTGTTCTATGTTGATTTGCAGGGGAGCATCAAGAAAAGGAATTCTCAACCCCAAGCATCACAAAAACACTCTCCATTGAAGGGAGAAAGGGACCTCCATTGGAAGGTGCTGGACCTCAAAAAGGGACTTGCTTTTTTGAGGGCCCAAGTTTCACCGAGAAACGGGCGTGTCTTTTTCTGAGGGTACCCCCTTGTTTGGCGGTTTTCAAGGGAAATAAGGGGGGGGAAATAACATTTTGTGGTTGGGTCTCCCAAAACAAGACGCTCCCAATCGGTTGAAAGGTTGAAACACCACGCCACGAGTCCACTGCCGAGCTGAGGCGCTGCAGGCCGGCGACGAAGAAGCGCAGGTGCCCCAGGCGCACCCGATGGGCGCAGCAGCGAAACCCGCAGAAGAGGCACATGGGGAACTTGGCGAACAAGTTCACCGGCTCCTGAGGCATCGGGCATCGGGCCCAGCAGACTGCAACTTTTGATGGGAAGAACCCCCTCCAGACTTTGATGGGAGAGCAGGGCAGTCCTTTTTGTGGAGCCCAATGCACACGACCCACTTGCGGCTCCAAGGAAAAACCCCGCTGGTTGGAAACAAACACTTCTTGAGGGTCCAAAACAAGCGGGACGGGTAGTCGATGTTCAAGAAACATCCTCCAAACAAAGAGAGACAGGGGCACGGCTGGGCGCCTCGGCTTCAAAGGATATCCGTGTTGGACCGCCTCCTTTGGCTGTTTTGCCATAACTGAGCCATAGCCAACAGTTGATTCACCAATGAACCAGGGCTTCATATCGGAACGGCAATATGTAACACCGTTTCTGGGAAGGGATCCTGGCGGTGAGGCCATAAAAGGGAATGAGCAGCCATGAGTCACAAAGGCGGCACCTGAAAAAAATGGTTGCCACCAGGGTCTTGAAAGTGGAAAGTCCAGAAACTCGGACGGAAAGCGGCAAAGGGCAAACAGACAGTTTAGGCAAAGGACACCCTTGTTGACCGAAGCCATGTCACAATGGCTTTGAGAGGGATCGGAAAGGTGGGATGTCGTAAACCCACGCAGCTCCTTGGGCAGGTTGTCCAAGATGTGCTGCTGGCTGCCGCTCAGGAGGAAAAGAAGCTCGACGATCTTCACCATAGCAAAGGACAACCTGTGCCAAAATCTGGGGACTGCACGGGGATTGTCCTGGTGAAAACCTGGGTATGTCAAATCTGACCCACCAACATGGGGGTTGCCCCTTTGCTAGCCTCGACGCTTGGCGAAGCGCGAAGTGGACTTCGTCCAACAGAGGTGCCCAAGAAGAAGCACCGTGTCCCTCTTAAGTCGAATAGGAAACAACCCGCCAACCAGGCCACATTCTCAGGGCACGCTCAAGACTCAGCGAGCTCTTCCAGGATGAACCGATGAGCAATCTCCTTGATCAAGTCCCCACAAGCTGGGGTGCAATAAAAGGACACCACTACTGTTCGGAGAAGGATTAACAACTGATTTTGAACAACTCAGACAGGAAGCCGCTGCTGGCTAAAATGCTTGCTTTGTACTTTGGCTTGATGTGGCTCATGTTTCAACATAGCCCCCCCCCCTCAAGAAGAAAAATGTGAACCGGCATGTGGTTTCCCTGGAACCCTTTCAAGCAGCCCCAACAAAGGCTCCCCCAAAAAACAGACACGCACTCCATGCTTGCCAGGCGCTGGGCGATTCGCAGGAAAGACAGGATCCTTGGCTTCCCCAGAGTATCCCGTGTTGACTCCGGATTTATGAACCCCTGCTTCTTCATGGGGAATCATTACTTTTGGACGGCAACACCCCCTATTCATGAACAGGGGTGTATCAATCCGGGGTCAACATTACCCACAAAGGCAAGCAACCGGAATACTTCAGGGCAATTCGTTATAATTGAATCACCAACCGACGATTTGAGATCCCTGTGAAAGAAAATGTTCATCACGGGCGACGTCGCAAACGCACCGAAATGTGACGTCATTCTCACGTGCGCTGAATCCTGAAGCCTTTTGATAAGGAAAAATAGAGCGCCCTTCGCTAGTCTAGGGTATTGAGCCCAAAGCCAAGCGTGCGCGGAGCCACGGCCTGGGGGATGAGGTCGGTGCTGGGTGCTCGAGTGCAACGCAAGAGGACCCGCCAGAAATGTGTGGAGATGGTGCCGCACTTTCGCAGTATGCAGCTGCGACCGTGCCGGTTTGCATTGCCGGGATCCTGGGGGACCCCAACATGTGAGAAGGCTTGAGCTGAGTGGCGGAACAGCCGAAACGAGGCTGCGGAGCCTTTGCCCACTTGCAGGGTCTGATGAGCCGAAGGGGCATATGCATCCTTTGCCGCGCGGATTCCCAACTCGTCTGGGACGGGGAGCACGCGCGCCGAACCCTTAACCCTTCTTGATTAGAGGCAACCAGAGCGCCCGTCGCTAGTCCAGATTACATCATGCGGATGTTTATTTTGAGGTGTTTGAATTGCGGCTTTTGCCTGCTTAACTAGCAAAGGGGATGACTTAGCTCCGCGGAGACGCACAAAGAATGTTGGGAAGGGGCCTTTTGAGGTCCAAGCCCTTCCAATGGAGATCCAGACCCCTCCATTGGCGGGCAATCCGTAGAAACATGCAATGGTGCCGACCATTGTTCACAGCTGATCTTGCTCACGAGGAGAGGTTCCCAAAAGCAATCGCAGTGATTGAACAAATCAACCTCAGTGACCAACCGCCAGAATCAAACTGACTACACCAGCTACACCACTGCCCCCACTGGTGCTGTTGGAACCAACCTCCAGCCGATGCAAAATACGGGCCTCAGTCCCACTCCGGTTTGTGGAAAGGAAGCGGTGCACATCGCCAACCACAAACCCTCGTTCCCACGACCACCCCTGTTCAACCGCAATCTATGTTGGCAACACAAAAGGACACTCCTCAAGCATTCCTTGCACCCAGTGACGACGACAACCATTTCCCTAGCTCCCGAGTCCCACCTCCCAGGCCTTTTTTGATTCGAAGGCTCCCGTCGGCCCCCGGCACCAGCATCTGCGCGGCCCCGGTGACGGAGAAGAAGGCCGGCACCAGCAGCAGCTGGATGACTCGGTCCGCGCGGGGGCCCAAGGACATCAGCAGCTCGTGGTGCCTGATTTTTTTCGGCTCGAGTCTTGCTGGTGGTCATGGCAAAAACTGGGCCTCAGGTTGCTGGTTGCTTCAAAGGAAACAAAAAGGGAAAAAACAATTTTGAGGGGGTTCCTAATTTGACACAGAGTTGGTCCAGACCCGCGGATTGCAAAGAAGCAGAATTGCCCTCTTTTTTGGTGCGAAAACATACCTGAGCGGCTTTTGGTTTAGTCACAATAGTTGAGAACAAATGCGTTTTTTGCAGCAATCAAATGCCTCAAGCTGCAACCAGGGAAGTTGTGCCAAATGATGATTTCTGCAAAAGCGGGATGAAACAAGGCAACAACCTTGTTTATTTTGCTTAGGAGACCAGACGAGGGTCAAATCGGAACCCCGAGACCCTGAAGCCTCGCTATCGCTCGAACTGAAATTAGACTGACTGGGCCTGGACCTAGAAGGTCATGGCTTTCTTGGCCAATTGCATATCTTCCGAATGTTGAACACTCGAATTCGGCGCGTCAAAACCAACAAACTCTGTTTGGAGACGGCCGGACAAGGAATCAAAGTTGGCACCTGTAAGAAGGATCCGCCCCTTTTAAACGTATCCAGTTTCTGGGTCCATGCGAGCGTGAAGGACACCACGTACCAGGCTGCCTTGCAAAAAGGGTTCGACTCCACAATGATCTGGCCAGTTTTCCAGGGAGAACAAGCATTTCCCCCCTCAGTCGGCTGGCTGATGTCAAAATACAAACCCCCATCCACAAAAGCGACAAGCATAATTCTTCGACCTTCTCAAAGAGATGGTCAACATGTGTCACGGTTCAAAATCCTTGGTTGCCTTGGTCATTGGTCATTCTTCTCTTTATGGGAACCTTTACGGTGGTCGTCCAAAACCTTAAGAGGTTGATGACCACCCCAAGTAAAACCTATCGTTGCTATGGCACAATGCTTGTCTCATACGGGACCCCACCCTCGATGAGCGGGAGCAAAATTATTGCCACCTCACACCTGGGGTCTCCTCGCCAGAATCTGAACACCGGCTTGTATTGCATGCCCTTGATGCCCCGTTTATGCTCGCCTGGTCCCTTGCTCTATGCCAGGTAGGTGCACCAGTTGCGAGCTCTCAAAGGGCAAGGCTACAAGCCTGGGGCACTTGAGCCCTCATTCAACACACATGGATTGGTTCAACTGAAAGGAACTGAGTCACAATCAAACCCGGTAAAATGGTCGTATTCCCAGAACGTAAAGAAGTAAGAGGGCGGCCGCACCGATTGCGGCAAGGGGATTGCCCCTTACCCTTCAACTACCCAAATCGGTTCTGATCATTCATTGCTGAGGCGCCCGAGCCCCTGCTCCCTGGCCGCTTTGAAGTGGCTCCGCATGTGGAAGGCCGAGATCGTGCAGGTGCCTCGTGACATTTTGAGCGGTTTGTTCCCAACCAGGTTGATGCGTGAGGAAGTGGGATGAGTTCAAGGTGTTGGGAATTACGAGAAAGACCAAGAACAAGTGGGCGCTCTATTTGTGTGTTGCTCAGGGTACCCTGGATCAGCTTGATTTAGAAGGGAAACCAAAAGAAGCAACCTATTTGGACATACACCCATGGGTTTCCAGAGGTACCCCCCAACCCCGACAATGGTGATTTCTCAACATGGTCAAATGCGACATCTCATTTTACACGTATTACAAATGTGTTTTTCTCAATACGTGTTTGCCGACAAGACGGTTGATGTTCGACATGTTGGATTGCAGCTTTCTTGGCTACGAACAGTCCAACCCGATTTCGGAACCAACGAGCAACCGAGGTGCAGATCGCGCAGAAGATGCCCAAGCACCAGATCACTGCCAGCACAGTTGGAGGGTCCTCATACCTGAACCCATGCAAGCCAGGCTGCAAACAATCAGTGCTCTGGGCGAAACAAACACACCAGCGAAGAAAGGACTCAACAATGAAGATAAAAAAAAAAAAAAAAAAAAAAAAAAAAAAAACCTGCAAGCCGTCAGTGCAAAAACGGCCAACCAACCAACCAACCAACCAACCAACCAACCAACCAACCAGCCAGCCAGCCAGCCAGCCAGCCAGCCAGCCAGCCAGCCAGCCAGCCAACCAACCAACCAACCAACCAACCAACCAACCAACCAACCAACAAACCATCAAAACTCGAGCCATCAAAATAAACCTAGCTCAGCCGAAAAGGGGGTCACGAAAAGGAGCTTCCTCTACAAATAGTGCCAAATTCCGTTGTTCAAGGGAGAAACCGATATTCGTTTGGCCGGAAGATTACTATTCTCATACGAAGCAGTGCTTCAATATTGATAGGTGTTCCAAACTACTACAGTTGAACGTGGAATACTATTCTATCAAATTCGAGTTTCGGGTGTTCACTCCCCTTCTAACCTCTTAGTTTTGAACTCGAGCATATTGGAATTTAATGCAGCAATCTTTATAAAGCCCAAACAATGAAGTCATGGTCTTCACCTCGTCTGTTCCTGTGCGCGTGTTGGCATTGGCCCCAGACTTGCCTGGTCCAAACCCATGGGCTCAACGGGCTTACCAAATCGCCTCCATTTGCATTCCGTGAACACGAGGGTCAAACAACGGAGGCGGGCCTTTCCTTACCTCCGAATAGAGTCGAACATTTTTGGGGTTCCTTGAAACCGAGTGGAGAGAGCATTTTTGAAGATGTCGCTTTGAGCATTGATTCAGCCCGTGTACCCCAGAAATGTTCATTCCGAATCTTCTGATCAGAACCTGGCGATTGGAACCCTGTTCACTAAGACGTGTTCAGGGTCCAATGTCATAGTGAATTGTAGCCCAAGTTGCCACTCACTCACCTGGCAAGATGTGTCTTCCATGGCAAGTTTGGGAACCTCTCACAATGTTCACATTACGCCAACCAAACCACCTTGTTGGAGAAAAAAGGACATATATTGAATTGCTGAGATGAAAAATGTCAGGCATAGCACTGCCGCTGATGTATGGATATGTCTCACAATGGTCCCTTTACGATCCCCAACCCCCACAGGTCCGAAGTTGTCGAGCCGACTGAGTGCAGACTTCGGGGGCATGTAACGCGTTGGCCGTTCAAGCTTCTCCCCCGCCATGGCTCCGCGAGTGGCTCGGCGAGACGAAAGCGACAAACACCAACCAAAAACAGGATACCGAAAGGGATGAAAGCGAATTCAAACCAAGCGGAACCACAGAAACACAAACCTGGGAGCTGGGCACACTGTGGCAAAGCTGGGACGGTATGTCTGAAGGATAGCCTTCACTTCCCTTCAAAGTTGCAAGAGAGCTACGTTGCCAGCTCGTGCCTGGGCTGACGAATGCGGCCGCTTATACCTTCTCAGCATGGCATGGCATCCCACCCCATACCTAACGCCCCTACTGCTTTCCCGAAAGCATTTAATATGGCCTTGTCAGAGCCTATTTGTTTAAGCAATCCAAGCTGGCCCCACCGGTGGCGCTCCATGACTATTCAACAGTTGCAAGGTTTTACTCTCGTCACGTTAGCTTGAGCGATGGTTTCTCGTCACATTCCAGCAAGCGCCGCTAAACCGTTTGAAGTCCTGTCACCTGCCTAACATTGTCACGTATCTCGCTTGCACACGTAGGAGACTTGTCAGAGTTCTCAGCAGAGTTCTCAGGACTGTTGTCATGTGAGGTGTAGCCGGCATTTTTCACATACCTTGCCTTGCCATAGAAAGAGCCAACAAGGACAGTGAATTGTGGCACACCCTTCCAGGCACACGACATTGGCCCTTGATTCTCGGACTTGGCATCTTGGCACAAGTTTTAGCTTTCGTCAAATCACAGGATCCAATGCCCGCTAAACCTTTCCCAGTTGGGTCTGATTCTTTCGTTTTTCGTTTTTGTTGGGGGGGGGGGGTTGAACACACCCTGAGTGAATTTACTCATTCACCAACCAAATGAACCTAAGAATCTCCACAGGGGCCGAACCACAGTCTGAAGGTTACTAACATTTGGGTGAAAGTATGGATGGCGCCACAGGAAACCCTCCATTACAGAAAGCGAATTGCATCATCCACTTGCGCACTGGTTCAATGGTATACTCAGGGCAACCTACCAGGTTTGTCCTCCCGACTCGCCTGCCCCCCAAAAAGTGGATGCCGGGGCGGCACCTTGGGGGCAGCCAGACTTGTGGAAGGCAGGAGATTCTGCTCCCTCACCCCCCAACGCCCACACAAAAAAAACATAATAAGCCTTTACTAGGGTCCAATCTTAGGAAAACAGGGGCGGACGTGGGGTCCCATTTTGGGCCAACGGATCCCAGAAACCACGGTCCTTGACTGCAGCATGGGGGAAGTTCTCCCCGGCCACTGCCTGAGTTGCCCAGGCACCTGAGTCGGAGCGCAGCTTTTGAGTTCGAAGCGGCCCATCCAAATGGCTTGGCTGGGAGGGAATTGGCCAGGTCCTGACGTTGCAAGTTTGGCAGAGAGTTTCTCAAAACCGGGGACCACCGGGGATTAAAGGGAATCAAAAGCTAAAGGAACACCAACCATTTGTATGAGTCCAAACGAACTGTCACGGAGTGTCGTGATGAATTCTTGACGGACAAAAAAATACCTCCAACAAGGCCATGTATCAAGCTAGGGAGCTTCCTAGTGAGATACAACCCCTGGAGTTCACACTCAGGGTTACATGAGATTGGCTCTTGATATATGTTGACCAAACCTCATACAATATGAGTATATGAGTGAGGGAGTCCCTAGAATGGGTGGTCCCCGTGCAGAACAAGCAAACCAGAACAAACCCGCAAAAAGGGTACCCTCAAAAACACACGCGCAAGAGTGTAAGTGTTTTCGAGCATGCCCTTCTTTGGGGTGTGATCAGAAGGGAAACCCAATTCGGGAAAAATCCTTCACCTTGATGGGAACCCTCATCATGGTTGTCCAAATGCCCCATTCAGAGGTTGATGACCATCCCCTATCAACCCCAACCTACTTCCAGAGTGGATTGGCAAAAAGAGCTTTGTTTGCTACTAATTAAAACGAACCAAACCCAGAAAGTCCATGACCTTAGGCAGTCAGCCAAGTAAAATTCGAAATTATGTTTCGACCACATCGCGACGTCTCGTGTCTCTTGCCGCACTGGGGCCCCGGCCGGCCGCGGCATGTTGGAACAACGCCCGTGCGGCTGGGAGCAATACGCCGAGGGCGCTGGCAGGCATCTGGCCTTGGCGCTGAAGGTGAAACTCGAGTACGCAAGGCGAAAGCAGATTGGCCAAAACAAGTTCTATTTTGCTTGGTCACCACGAGTGGTGCTCCCAAAAAGGTAAAAGTCCAGAAACTCAGGGTGAGAGTTCTTGGATTTTGGATCTGCCATAGTAGGTTGTAACCACGGTTTGATGTCAACCAAAGGGGTTGTCCACTTAATTATTATGGTTGTGACCTACTAAGTGGGTTGAACATCCAAGTGGGCGACCAGGTTGCTGACCTCTCACTGTCTCACAGTCTTACCGGTCTGCCGACATCCTTTGACCCTTGACGTTTGGGTGCCGGCTAGGTGCGTTTGGTTGATTTGAGGCCCAACAGACCCACACATGGCGACCTCAAAAACCGGCCACCCCACAAAAGGCCACCCGCAACAATCGCCGCCCAAGCATGCGATGAAAAGTAGGGTGCCGTTTGCGCGCTTGGTCTGCATCTTCACTCAGCCCCTGGCCGAGAAGCGCCTCTGGCAAACGGGCCCCCCATTCGTGGCCTTGGTGTTCCTTTCGAAAACCAACAAGCAAGGGAACACCCTGAAAACACCCAACCAAAAAGGGAAAAAGGGTGGACGCTCAAAAGAACTGCGGGCATGATGTAGGTTGGTTATGACTCAAAACGAAGAAAACAAGGACTGATCATCAAGACCTTGTTGGATCCCACCTCAGTGAGGCTCCAAGCGTTCTAGGGCGATTAATTAAACAAAACCTTAACAGACCAAAGGTGGGGCAGCGGCTTGCCATTTAAGTGTCATACGGAACATGCGGTTCCCCCATCCAAGGGACAGGGACCCATCATCTTTGCGTCACATATGGGACAGGTGAAATGGGCCACGTTACGTGAGAAGTTTGTTCCCCCTTAGGAACCGCCAACATAGTTAACACTGTTCAAGGGCACCAAGCTTTGGGTGGGATTAAAGGAAAGCTCTAGAGATTCCCGATTTTAAGTCATACACATGCATGGCAAACCACAAGACAAGCAAGTAACCATCGGGATCCAAGATACTCCAACCCCAGACTCCCCAGAATAAGACCCGAATATTTGCTGTGGTCAAACAAAAAGGCCGGTTCCTTTGCTTCATCAAAGTCTAGGGGTTTATGCAACCATCGCTGGGGTTCTTGGCAAGGGAACCAATGGCCAACGGACTAAGCTTCGACCATGGCACATATGGCCTTGTTCGTGGATGCACAAAATCCTGCGCCACCTAAGAAACCCTTTTTTCGTGTGAAAGCGGGAAGTGCCAAATTGGGAGGATTGGCCCAGCTTCACTGGGCTGCTCCCCTCAGCAGCTGATGGGAGTCGATTTGATGCCCCTCCCACAGCGAGGGAATCCTCCCACCTCACCTCATGCCCTCCCGGCAGTATGGGTGAGGAAGGAAGGAGGTGAAGATTGACATGATCAATTCGGTTTTGGTTGAGGGAAAAATCCGGTTTTCGGCCGGGAATTGGGGATCTGGATGAGTGAGCCCATCAGCCCACTGATTAAAGTCGCGTTTCACGCGCGACGGCCCCAACATGACTTGGTTGTCGTCCCTTGCGCTTGGCCGGGATGACCTGCACTTGAGCAAAAGTGCTCCTCAGGGGCCGGCTTGACCTCCTCAGCCAGGACCGACCAGCCTTCCTCCTCCCTCTGCACGAGGCTTGCCAGGTATTTCTCAAAGGAGACCTTTGCCTTGGCTTTGGCCTTTGCAACCGTGGCCGGCATAGGCAGGGGCGTACATGGCTTACAAGGGGATAAGGGGAAAGACAGTTTTTCGTTTCAAATCAAGAACAAGACTGGCTTGGTCCACTTGAGCCAAAAAACATCCCAAGTGGACCCTTACAATGAGTTAAGTCAAGTGCACACCTACGGCTACACTTTTGCCCAAAATACCATCCATAACAGTTTCTCATGGTTTCCAAGTTGTGCAGCATTTCGTCCATCCACAGACAGTGCCACAGTATTTGGAGGCAACCCAAGCGGAGAGTGAGATCCTATGAGGAATGGGCTGTCAATGCCACAGGCACTGTATTCCCATCTTCAGACACTCAAACTATGGGCTCGAACGAAAATATGTCCGTTGAACTGGCTAACTGCTGTCCCACCCACGGACAGTACTACCCCCACAAAACACTAACAACAGCAAACAAGGGCAAAAAGAAGCCATCTCAGAAGTAGACAAAATCACCCGCCCTTAACGAAGATGACAGCTTGAGCAAATCTTGGACTTAGGGCCATCAAGCTGAACAACATAAAACGCACATGGCCAACCTTCCAAATTCAAAGACCAGCTTAACACTTGTTTGCCGGTGCAAAACACCATGCTCTACCCCTTAGTGCCCTCTTTTAAGGTGAAATGGTGCCAAGTGTGCCTGCCAGGAATAGTGATGCTCCAACAATTCAGAGGCCAAAAGTAACACCCAAATGCAACCACGAATTCACACATGTCACCCATTCTTCTCCCCGACCCTTCCTTTCAGAAACCAAGCATGTTCTAGAGGTAAATGCTTCCCGGAACCCCAACCCGCTGAAAATTCCCGCGGGAAGCGGAGCTGTGACTTTTGCGCTGGCCTTCATCACGGCGCGGAGCTGCAAGGCGCCGAGGCACCAGTCCCCCAATCGCACCTCGCATGTCGCCCGGTTCGCGCTGGCGGCAACCGGCTGGCCACCAGCAAACTGGCAGGCTAGATCAGGTATTGGGGAGTGACACTATGCGCAAATGATATCCTCATGGGGAGAGGAAAGCTAGATCTCTGTGAGCCGACCAACGGATTTGGAGCACTTCAAGTGAGAAAGGGACCCCTCAAAACAATGGGGATATCGAAATTGAAGTGAAGGAGAACCCAAATATTGGATTCGTTTTCCTTTTGGCTTCGGGTACCATCGAAAGCCACACAATAGGACACCTCCTGTGGGCCTCTGCTCTTGAGAAACCGTCTTGCAACTTCAGGTCGCCTCGTGAAAGGAACTCGGAAAGGAAAGGGGGGAGGTCAGTCAAAGGTCGTTGACCTTTGGGTTGCTGGTGACTCCGGATTTATCAGCCTCGTGGAGGGAAAGATCAAGGAGTCCCTCTAAATTGGGGGGGGGAAGGAGCACCCCCTTAGTTGTTCATCAACCAGGGGGTCCTTTTTGAGCCAATCGCCTCCATAGTCTTGGTGTGGTAGCAAAACCGTTGTTCCTTGCCACGAAAAATGAGAACAGAACTGTAAGAAAAGAACTAAGACATGTCAAAAACAGTGAAGGTGCATTTCCCTTTTTCTTGGTCGGTACATACTTTGGAACCCAAACGGATCAGGCGGCTTCACGTAGCCGATCGCCTCAAGTACCCTTCTTCCCCCTCTCCGATTTTGTGCCAACGCCTGCAAGACCTCACCGAGGCGGACCCGCACTTGCTCGCGAAGCCCTGCGCGACGCGGCCCCGGTGCGCCCGTTGAATGGCGCAGCCTTCAGTCTAAACTCGTTGGATGGTTTCTTCGATCCGTCCAGGTCGGGCCCATCCAACCTTTTGGACTTTTCTCGGGCGGAATGGAAGCCATTATGAAAGCACGAGGCAGCCCATCAGTCTTGGGTGTCTTAAAAACCAAAGATGGCTTCGGTTGTCACTTTGGGTTCATTGTTAAACCCACCACATTTCAGCTATTGCCATTCCATTTCCGTGATTGAATTGAATGGTTCCTTTCCGACTTAAAATGAAACCTATGGAGCTCACCAGCCATTTTTGAGGGTGCTCACTTGTCAGACAGGGTGTTATTCAGGCAACTCTGTCTCGGCAGCATGCAACAAGTCATCTGGCCATAGGTTGCCTTCGGAAGACCTGGCTAAACAGGGCGGGTGGAGAACCTCTGCTTTACCTGCAATGGAGCCAAGTGGAATTCCAGGGTCTAGGACCTTTGTAGGGCAGCTTGATTTACCCCACTTCGGGACCTCCTTGCGCCCCAAGAAGCAACTTTCAAAGGGCCTAAACATGGGTTGCTGCCCCTTGATCCCCTGTGTAAACATGCTCAAACACCGAACGATTGAACAGTCTCCTTCAAGTTCCCTTAGAGGGCCAGGGTCTGGTCTTTGCTCCTGTTGCGCGGATACAACCCCCCCTTTCAAAATTGAACAGCCCACGCCCCATGCCCCACAAAAAAGGGCAAACTGAAAATATGTTCAGATTCTGTTTCACCTTTTGTCCACACCAAAAATAGGCAAAATCGGGTTTCGGCACCTCGCGCCTTTGGTCTCCGGAGGGCAGCCCGGACTCTCGGCCCAGACCTAGCCAATGGGTCCACCAAGGCAAGCGTTGGGCGTGTTTTAAAAAGAAACCAAGGGGACACCCACCCTTTTGTGGGTTCCTCTGTTTTGAGACCCAAGGACTGTCCGAAAAACAACAGAGCGTGCCTAATCCATGGCAGGTGCATGGTGGAAAATGGCAAAGCCCCGTTCTCCAATACCGAAGCTGGGTTCGCCAGGCCCGATGACTACGTTTCTTGCTGCTTGGGAGACCCTCCAAGGGCTGCGTACAGTCCAGAGTGCATCCCCTAGGTTGAAGATAAAACAAGGCATATCCTGGATGGTGGTGTGCATTCTCTTGTGACCAAATGTGTGAGAACTTTAATGAGTGACCCTTTGGTAGACATCATTTAGGTGGAGATGTTCTTGTCCACCAACCACTTTTGAAGCAGTTCCCTGGGCAAACTCCATGACATGAAATAGTTTGCCAAAATGCTTTGTGAGGTCATTGTAAATTGTACAAGTGCACGTCCTTACAACGAAGTGTCTCACCTAGGAAGAAGCATGCTTCCGTTCTCCCTCAGGAAGTCTGTCCACTTAGAGCTGGTTGGGAAGATGATGATCAATTCAGGAAACGAGTCTACGTGTCGACATATTGTGCGTCCAAAATGGCTGTTGGGCCTATTTTGAGCGGTGCTGATGCTGGCAATGCTCGCGATGCAGACAGGTGATGCTCGTGGTGATGTTTGTAAGGCAGGTGATGTTGGAGGGCTTTGCCATGGGCCTTGCACCAGAATCGAGGCACTTCAAGAAATATCCAGAGAGGAAGGAAGATGGACTTTACCTACCCCATTTCTGGCCGTGGAGCCACTAGACGGAATAAACGAATGTCGGGGAGAGATGCCATTCCTACCTCGTTCGTGGCCCGCCCCCCGGCAAACCTCTTCTACGGTATGTGTAAAAACAGTTGGTTGGACCCCCAGACTTCACCAGCAAAGGTTAAGATGTCCCCTTTCAGCATCATCCCACCCAAAGAGAACTCATCTTAACATGGCCGGAAAGGTGTTGAACCACATTGCCACGATTGCTAAAATACCAAGGGGTAGTGACTATCCCTTCACAGAAGAGTTGTATGGGAGTGATTCCCGTTTTTGAGGGTACCGTTTTGGTTTGTCGATTTAAAGGAACACAACTTAGAGACAACCAGGATTAGTCATCCCCCTTGCCCAAATAAACTGGGTTGCTCCTCCCCTCTGAGCAGAAGGGTTAACCCATCCTAATCTTTCTAGGTTCAACTGAAAAAGCTTCTTTCCAAAAGGTTTAGGGGCCTCAAGACCGAATCCGCCCTTTGTTCACGGTGAACAAAGCCGACACAAGGTTAGATTTACTGCTTCAAGGTAGACTTAAACCCAACAGTGTCCCTCCGGAATCAAGCAGCGGGCTTAAGTGTTTGGGGAAGTCAAGAAATGAACACCCTTCACCCTCTACAAAAGCCAGAGGTGCAAATCCCCAAGCCACCAATTCGAATCACGAATCAAGGGTAACCTGATGGTGTAAGGACGAAACAAATCCGACATCTTCGCACCTCAGAGAGCAGCGTCAGCGCCTTCACCGGCGGCTGTTCCTGAGGCACTGCTACCTGAGGCGGCGAATAGCCCAGGTTCACCAAGAGACAAACGCCATGTTTGGCGGCGCCCCTTGACCGACAGGACTCGTTGCAATTTTGCCAGTGCATCTTGTCGCACGCAGCCAGTGGGCCCATAGTTTGCCATGGCCGGAGTGATTTCGGACGAGGGGCTTAGCAATGCACGACTCCCGTCCGAACAAGAAACAGAAGCTCGTCCTTTGTCTTTTCAGCAAATGCTTTGGAACGAACTGTAGCTTTCTTTGCCACATTCGCGACAGGCACATTCGCAGCATCCAAGGCTTTTGGTCAAAACACACTGCTGTCTCGGCTGCTTTCGGCGGGAAGACATTAGAAGTAGATGCTGAAGTTGTCTTGTTGTCTCTTCCGCGGAGTCACATGCAGCTGGTCACTGCAGGAATGCGCTGTCGGTACTCTGGCACAAGATGGTTACGTTCGTTCCCGGGAACCCCTGCAGCAATTGAATACAAACTACCGCAACATGGGCACATTCATCGTTCAAGGGAACCCCCGCAGCGCTTGAACACATATGGCGCGAGATGGTTCCTTTCGTCGTTGCAAGAGAACCCCCGCAGCAGTTGAATACATATGGCACAAGATGTTTAGGATCATCGTTCAAGGGAATCCCGCAGTACTTGAACACCAGATGGGTACATTCGTTCAAGGGAACCCCCGCAGCAGTTGAATATCGCACAAGAGGCTTACGATCATCGTTCCAGGGAACCACCGCAGCACTTGAACACCAAATGGGTAAGTTCGTTCAAGCGAACTCCGTTGAATACATATGCCACAAGATGGTTACGTTCACCGTTCAGGAAACAACCGCAGCACTTGAACACACATGGCATGACATAGTTGCGTTCATCGTTCAAGGGCCCCCCCGCAACAATTCAATACATATGGCGCCAGATTGTTACGTTCGTCGTTCAAGGCAACCTCCCTTGAATTACATATGGCGCCACATGGTCAAGTTCCATTGTTAAAGGGAAACCCCGGCAACACTGGAACGCATATGGCGCAACATGGTTACGTCCGTCGTTCAAGGGATGCTGTGCAGGAGTGGCAAACGTATGGCGCAAAATGGGTACGTTCGAACACACATGGCGCAATGGTTACTTTCATCGTTCACGGCAACCCCGCAGCGGCTGAACACGTAAGGCACAAGATGGTTGCGTTCATCGTTCAAGGCAGCCCCACAGCGGTTAAACACATATGGCACAAGATGGTTACGTGTGTTGAGTGGCGGGCAAATGTTTCCTTTATTGGCTCGGCTGGGGTAGGCCATCAGTGCACTTAGTGCCACTAGGTCAAGGCTTCAAAAACAGACACTCTCTCTCTCTCTCTCTGTCTGTCTGTCTGTCTGTCTGTCTGTCTCTGTCTGTCTGTCTGTCTGTCTGTCTGTCTGTCTCTGTCTGTCTGTCTGTCCGTCTGTCTGTCTGTCTGTCTGTCTGTCTCTCTCTCTCTCTCTCTCTGTCTGTCTGTCTGTCTGTCTGCCTGTCTGTCTGTCTGTCTCTGCCCGTCTGTCTGTCTGTCTGTCTCTGTCTGTCTCCGTCTGTCTGTCTCTGTCTGTCTGTCTGTCTCTGTCTGTCTGTCTCTGTCTGTCTGTCTCTGTCTGTCTGTCTCTGTCTGTCTGTGTCTGTCTCTGTCTCTGTCTGTCTGTCTCTGTCTCTGTATGTCTCTGTCTGTCTCTGTCTGCCTCTGTCTGTCTCTGTCTGTCTCTGTCTGTCTCTGTCTGTCTCTGTCTATGTCTCTCTCTGTCTTTCTATGTCTCTCTCTGTTCTCTCTATCTGGCTGTCTCTCTGTCTGTCCGTCTTCCTGTCTGCCTTTCTGCCTGTCTGATGAATCAAAGTCAGAAACAGAGTCATGATCAACACCCGGTATTAAAGTGGTCTACCCAGAACCATGTAAACAATTAAGAAGGCGGCCGCAGCTATTTTGTGGCTGGGATTGCCAGCTCAACTGGGGGGTGCTTCCTTGATCCGCTCAGGGGGGGGAGGTGACTTGACAATGGTAAAACCAAGAATGGGTCCCGTCGTGGCAAAGATGCGTTCAAGGTGGGAAGGGTCAGGAAATCATGATTGTAATTATTGGGCAACTCTTTTGCTGTTCCTTATTGCTGCGTACCTATCTCAAGCGCCTTGTTGCGCACGCATGTTGCATACCTTGGCATCTGTGCCTTTGTCTCTCTATGTCTCCCCATGTGTCCGTCTCCTTCGCTCTTTCTCTTTGTCTCTTTCTCTCTCTCTGTGCCTGTTTGTGTCCTGCAATTGGCTGGCCTTCCAACGCTCTCCCGGCAACTGCTCCATCGCGACGGGCTTCAGGGAGGCTCCGCGCCTGACACGAATAGTGCGCGTTTGGCGCTTTGGTGCCCTAGCTTTGTGATCTGTGCCTGTCCCCACACTGGGCACCTTTGTCCGGAGCCGGGGTTCAAGTACAACCAGCTAGCAGCATTGCATCCCAGTGTGTTGCTGAGCACACCTCCAGCAGCCGTTGCACGCCCTCTTCAAGATCAGAAATCTCATCTAAGGCCAGCTGGCACTGCCAGTCCTCAGAATCCACATGAGATGGAACTATCGGAAGCTCAGTCTTTGGGTCAGCGCTGGGGGTCGCAGAACTTGCGGAAAGCGGCCATGACATTCTCGTCCTGGAGGATTAGGTGCCAGGCGTTTGCCAAGGCTACCAGAGTACGCGCAAACTAACAATTTCGCACGACCCGACACGCCCAATAGCCTTCCAGCCTCATCCACCTGTGGATGAGGCTGCTCGACTGGTTCCACGCGCAAAGCAATGGTTTTGCTCCAGCAGGTACTACTTTGAGACTCCAGACAGCAAGCCATGACGCCTGGCACGTCAACACCTCTTTCGGCTCCTACAACTGTTGCCGATGACCTGATATACCCCTGCCTTAAGAGTGAGGTACGTGGGGGGGTGGACCATCTGGATTTGTGGAGGAAGTGGGCTGCTTGCACAAACTTTGACTGCCCCACTACGTACGCCGCCTGCTTCCGGCCAGTGGCCCCAAGTGGACTGGACTGCGCCTAAAGCTTGTGTTCGGTCAGAAGCTGAGATCCCAGCTACGCAAATTCATTCTTACGGCGGTCAGTCCCTTCATACTAACGCGGTCAAACCGCTCATCGCCTCATCCGTCTCGAGCTCGCGCACGAGCCTGCACTTTGAGTGCCTTCAAGCAGGTCAGGTAGAAGGCAACTAAGGAACATTACTGCCTACTGAGGCCTGCACGCTTGGTGGGCTCCCAAGTGCACCCGGCTGTTCCAGAGGAATCGCGGGCACAGCTGGACTTTCGCAACTGCCACTGCCTGCAGCGCACTACTGTTCTTGACGAACACCAAAAGCATGTGGCCGGGCCGCTGCGTGTTTCATCTCAGTGAAGGATGAGTGTCACATCCCGCCAGCCGCGGCCCAGAGGGAACTTGTCTGTCACCCTCAAGACCTTGATGCTCTTCGGGACCTCCAATAATTGTTTTGATTGCAATTTTTGCTAGACCAAATATTGCAATTATATTGCAAATATTGGAACTCAATCGCAATAGGTGAGAGCCCCAAATATTGCAATTATTGCAGCTTTCGGAATTCAATTCCAACGACTGCAATTCTTGCGAAGTCCGGGGCTCCCGCAATTATTGAAATTATTCGGATTCAAATCCAAAAACTGCAATAATTGCAGCACAATTGCAAATATGAATTAATTCCAGATTTGGCCCCAAGCCAGGCCAAATAACTCCAATAGTCGCAATAGTTGCAAAATCCGGGACACTCAATTGTCAATTCTGCAAGTATTGGAATTGAACTCCAATGATTGCAATAGTTGCAAAATCTGGGTCCTTGCCGAAATCGCAGTGAGGTGTTGAAAACGCAACCAAATGAAGGCCAAGGTGAAGAGAAGACTACGTAAACAGTTTTAGCAGATAGTTATCAGACAGTTATTAATATGCCACCAGGCAACGCATGCAGAAGCCATCTTGGTGTCGGCCGACGACAGCCTGGGGGTTTGCGTCTTGCTTGCTGGTGCCGGTTCAGCTTGAGTTCTGCAAGAACGCGGCTCGGCCAGGAAGAGAGCAGCGCTTCACGTTGTGAGAAGCCTTTCCGCAACGAGCAAGCCATTGAATGGCATCAGCTGGCGCCCGCTTGAACAGTCTGAGATGGGCGAGCGGTCACGAGCGCGTGCAAACAGCAGGCATTGCAAGCGCTCCATTCAAGCAACAACTGCAGCCAAAGAAAGCCCATTGGGGCTCTGGGGCGATTGTGCAAAAAGCACATCGAAGTTGTGGGGATTTGGCAGGTCCGAAAGCAGGATTGAGGTTTTTGCTTTGGAGCAGGAGTAGAGGGCCTTCGTCCAACTTGTTTCTTCTGTGGGTGTGCTGAAATTTTCGCGTTCGCCTAGGCAAAACAGTCATTTCTAGTCATTGCGACGCCACACGCGTGCCTGGTATGAAAGAGTGCGGTCGGTTTGCATGTTCTCTACCATAACGACCCTCGGAGGAATTCCATAAGAACAAAAGGAACAAAATATTAGGACCCCCCCTCCGAGGAGAAAAAAGAATGCAGCATTGGAGGTCTGGGTCTGGCTGAATCTCTTCAGATGTGGTGTCTCTTCAAACAAATGCCAAATCCCTTGGAAAACGGTTGGCTTCTAAAGAGAACGCTGGGTGAAGTGAATGTGAAATCAATCCTCCGGACCCAAGCGAATGAACGCTCTTAGCCAACTTAATCAAAAATGCCAAAAAACATCGCAGGTCAGAAATTCCGATTCAACTGGGTAGAACCGCCCTCCAACATTGCCAGCAGGGTTTTGGAGCAGTCCAAATGTGTTTGTCCAACATGTGCAAAAAGATTATTTGCCAGGTTTTACCCCAGGCAAGACCGGATTCTTTCGGAGCACGGCTCCCTTCCTTCGAACAAGTTTGGGCAATTTACCTTATAGTTTATCAACAAAAAACAACTCCCGAAGAACCTGTCAAGGGCGAGCTTCTAATTTGTTAATGTTTGATCATTCCAAAGGGAGACATCCAAGGTCCCCTTTGGGGTTGCTTAAAGCCCCCCGAACGAGCAAAATATCGTGATCAGCCGTTTGTAGGTCCAAGCCGGCAAAGCCCACTTAGGGGGTGTCTCAAAATAGGGGACCCCCAAAAATGGGCGGATTTTCTTTTGGTACCCCTGTGAACCAACCCCAAAACGGGTGCCCGCAACAAACAAAGACAGACCCAATTGTCCAACTAAAAGCTTCTCTCCTTTTGGGCGACTCGGCCCCCGATGCAGCGGTCCATGCCAGTCGAGCCGAGCCGCCAGCGCCACCGCGGCCTGCCACACCGCCGTCAGACTCGGCCCTGGCCGGCCGCGGTCAAAGCTCGGCCACGTGCGCCCTTCTCCCTTAGGTAACCAAGGGGCTACGTGGCCATGGCTGAAAATCCCGTACCCCCACTGAACATCCCAATCCCCACTATAGACTAAAATGGGTGGTGCACCTACCCCAAAATGGTACCATTGGTTTTGACCCACAGCCACCTTTCTGCTTAACGAAAAGGAACTTGGATCGAAGGGCTACCTATTGTGGCGAACGCCTGGCAGCCTTAGCGACCCTTACAATGGTGGTCCATTTATTTATTTATTTTTACGGGGCCCATGACCAGCTCTAGACAGAAGTGATTGGTGTTGCACCACGGCACATGTAGGTCAATCTGGAGTTCGTTGGTGGAGATGGAAAGCCTCCAGCATCACGAACAAAGAACACAAGGGAACACGGTGCAATTGCTTGCAAGGAATGCAAAGGAATCACCACTCAATTGAGCTTGCAAAAAGCTTTCATGAACTCCCCAATTGTCCGCCTCGTTCGGCCCACCGGTCCGCGCGACGCTCGAAATAACACCGAGACGAATCCGAAGCGGCGCACCGCTGCGCAGGAGCACCGCGGGCGCATGGCGCCCCGCCTGCGCTAGCCGAGCTCTCGGCTCGAGGCTGGAGTCCGTTTTGGGCACGAACAAACCTGGAAAGAGGCCCGGCAATCTCAGGTCCCGGTAACCAAATAAAAAAAAAACCTTAACTAAAAGGACAATGGCAAAGGTTTTGCATACTGTGCCTGGGATCCATGAGAAGGGTTGGGGCAAAACGCAGGATAAAACCCTTGAATATCAGGACCCCGATCTTTGACCTCGTCGATCAACAGTACCTCGGCTTTTGGCCCCCAAAAACAATCTGTTTGACTATGGCCCGTATTTTAGTGCCCAAAAGGGACTCTCCAAAAGCAGCTTTCCCTGATGGCTGTTGGGGATCCATGTCAATCTAACAATGGGAACCCCTCACTAGTGCGTCCTCCGGATTGATTCATAGTCCACATTAGGTTTAAACTTACATCCTGTATTTGTCTAGTCTACCCAAAACCCTTCGAAAAGGAAACGTGTTCCCAATTCTAGGGATTTGACATTATCCTTCTCCCCCCAATACAAAAAAAGAACAGAAGAAGAAGAAGAAGAAGAAGAAAACACAAAACTACGACATTGTGGCTTCCTGTTGGTCTTGTGAAGAAGGTCGCTTGTTCAACAGTGCTCCCTGTATCTCCCCATTCAACATCACTTCACAAGGTCAAAGATGATGTTTGAAACCAAGAGGGGGAAACATAGGGAACCGTGTTCAATGGCCAAGCTGTAACGTTTTCTCGGAGCCCTGTCTCACTTCCCGGCCCAACTGGCCTCTCTGGTCAGCTCACACAGGGCCTGGCTCGTCTTTTCACTTCCAGAGACGAGTTGAAGTCTGGAAAGGAACCCCCTGCAAAGCTTCACAGTCCGGCTTCACTTTGTGCTGGTGGCTTCACTCTGCACAATTCTCACTTTACAGCTAGCCGGTGGTTGGCTCCGGGCTATGGACATGGGAAGCCTGGTGCCATATCCGGGACTTAAATGCCGCTTCCGAAAGAAAACCTCAGTTCCCTGCATGTCCCCCTGGAACATCAAACATCACACCACCAAAAGGAAATTCACGTAAAATGATTCCAAAAGGTGATGTTTAAGACCCCCAACATAGGAAATACCGGGAAAAAATGGAAATGTAGACGCAGTACAGCATCTCTACACGAAGTTCATGTTCTCTCCAAGTCTGTGGGTCCAAAACTCAAGTCCTTTGTGCAACAGAAATGCCCATTCGCTAAGAGATCTTGTCTGCTCTTCAAACCCATCGAAGAAGAGGGGTCCTTTTATCCAGCTTCAGTGTTCATGACAGGGAGGTTACCCAAAAGGAAGTAGTGTTGCAGCTTCCATGATTAGAGGGAGGGCATATGTTGCCATGCTAAAAATCGCATTTAGTAGCAGATTTGGAAGATCCCAATGCACAGCATGCAGGGGGTGCTTCCCTTGATCTGTAAACATCATTTGATATCATTTTCGCCACCCTCGACCGGAACCCCGGTCCACTTCCAAGTGGGCTTGCCCAAAGAAAGAGTCTTCCAACAACCCTCCTCGCAGTCAGCTTCCATGAGTGCTGGGAGAAAAAAGAAAATCCGCAAGGGTTCCCAATTCCGAATTCCACACACCTGGAATGATTGCCGTATCCATCCGCTGCCTCTACCAGCTGCCGCTCCTCCTCACTGACCCCCGCAGGGAAGGGAGACCCACCCATACCTCGCACGCCAACGCCCCTCAACTTGGCCCAATTCAGGCACCCCAAAACGATTCCTAAGGGTGGCTGGTCTTTTACCTCTTGGTGGCTTCAAAGGGAAACCAAAAGGGCAAATCACGAATGAATGCCCAGATACGCCGGGATTGGTGCTATTCGTTCATTTCTCACAAGGGCCACAAAGGGTGTCTGGCCTAGAATGTGGGCTGGAATGGTAGAAAGTCATTCGGAATGCATGGTTGGGTTTATGTCCAAGTGTTATCCCACCAAACAGGGGGCCGCAACACAAGGACGTTCCCAGCAGATCGCTGCAGACCTCTCCTGCTTCGCCCAGAGAGACGTCAGGGAAAGGCACTGCCCATGGTCTAAATATGTACAGGTTACCCGTACTCGACTGCTGATCTGGACTTTTTGAGCGAACCTCTTTTCCTCGCTTGTCCAAATTTGGCATGAAACTTCAGGTGAATCTGTTGGAGACATATGTGTTTGTCTTTGTTGTGGGTACCCTTTTTGGGGGGTGGTTTTAAAGGGAGGCCAAAAGGGTCGGGCCTCAAAGCGCGCAAAGAGATGTCTTTTGGATCCGCATTTTGCGGAACCCCTTTCCAAGGTACCGAAAGAGTACTGAAAGAGTACTGAAAGAGTACTGAAAGAGTACTGAAAGAGTACTGAAAGAGTACTGATTGGAGTGCAAGGCGCGCTTTCTGAACCAGTGGGATCCGCGAGACGCGTGAATGCTGGGCTGTCCCCAATCCTCCGAAATCCACAGTGGGATTGTGCACCCAGCAATCCAATCCCTTTTCTGTGCAACAAAAAGATGGCAGTTTCGAGTTGCCCCGTTTTTGAGCGCGGCTCTCAAGCGTCCCCGCCTTCACAGTGCCAGATCTGGGCCTGTCATTGACGCGGACGAGATGGCGGGCTTGTTTCATAGGGACCCCCCTGAAAATTGGGCTGCATCGTGTGGATGCCCGTTCGTTTCCATTAGAAATTTAAACAGCCCCCCAACAGGGTACCGTAAAAAAAGAGGAAACCCTCCGGGTGGCCCTAAAGGGAACCTAAGGAGCAAAAACGCATTTTGAAGTGGGTCATATCCCATGTGAGACACAAGCGTGTCGTATGTCAGGTTGCCAAAAGCAACCCCTTTTTGAGCCCTTTGAATTACAAGGCACAAGCTGTCAAAGAAGGTCTCAAACCACACACCCTGTTCTTGACAACCTCCCCAACCCCCAGAAAACATCTATCAACCATGCATGCGGCACGCAAAAACAGTGTGCTTGCCCTTGGCAACGCACCCACAGCGCACAACAAGTCGTTGGCACTACTGCCAGCGTCCGCTGTGGTGTCCGCGATTTTTGCAGCACACCACCCCGAGTAAAGGGCGCCAAGACACAAACCAGAGAGATCGAAGGAGCGCACGCATGTTTGCACAGGATTCGAGGACGAGGACCCCTGATTTGCTGCATGCCATTGCCTAGGTTGCAAAGCCTCCGCATACGACTGAGACCCAGATGTTATTCTCTTTCCCGATTCGACCGGGAAAAATGGCCATGCATGCAAATCTGGCCAAATTCGGGAGGGGGGGTTAAGATCTAAAAAGAAGCAAGCATGGTCATGCGGGAACTTAAATTGGGATTGGTCTCCGATTGGTCCCCTGAAAACCATGATGAAAACCTTGTGGTGCTTGCCTTACGAGGTGAGCATCCAAGCCTGGCTTGAAACCCCTCCTGGTCATTCTCACACCTGGAACCCCGCCCTCTTAGTCTGAGCTGCGATGATTGGCCAGGAAAAAGACAACACTTTTCCCCCAACAATCCCTACGGGTGCCTCCGTGGCCAAACGAAGGCGGGCCTCCACCTGAAGCCGTTGGGCAAAGGTGAGAGTGGGCTGAGGGTGGGCTGAACCTTGGATGTTTTGGGGTTAACGCAGTAAGTAGGTGATCTCACCATATTATGATATACTTGAAAACTGGGGTTAGTCCCCATACAGCAATGGTGGGAACTTACTCACTGTGTGGGTTCCCACCCAAATGCTGATGCGGGACTACCCAAGACCGATATCTGTTATTCTGCAAAGCACTCAAATTGTGGACTACCCAAAACCCATACCTTGTATATTATATAATATTGTCCGTTGCTCATATGGGGCCAACACCCGGGCCATGGTGTTCTCGGCAAAAGGGGATAGTTTGCCAAAACGGACAGAAAACCATTGAGCAATGGATCAACCTCCCATTGAGGTGCACTAAAGCATAGCGGAATAATTTGCCAGTCGTGGTTCGTCACAAGTCTCTTCAAAATTGACTAGGATTATAAATGCCGGATGAAGGAACCATGGAGGGCGGTCGAATAATTATTCTAGTGAAAATGGCAAATAAATAGCAATTCAAAATTGCAAACAACAATGCGGCTGTTTCCGGCTTGTGAGAGTAGCAAGCATAGCTAAAACTGCTATAGAATTGATTCTTCCGGTTACTGCTCACTTTGCTTCCTGGTGTTTCGCTATGTTTGCTAATGGTCGCTAAGTGTTGCGAATGCTTGCTATTGATTGGCTAATCTTTGATTGTGATCGCTATGTGTTGCTATTGTTTGCTAATTGCTGCTAATGTTCGCTAAGTGTTGTGAATAGTTACTACGTGTGTGTTTGTGGTTGTGTGTTATTGTTTTGTAGCTGCTTGCTACTATGTGCTAATGAGCTTTGGCTTTGCTATGTTCACAAATTAACTATTTGAGGGGGTCCATCGGTTGCCTGGAAGCGGCACTTGTAAGACTAGGACAAACCGGTCATCTCCAGTTCCATCAAAAACCGACAGTGACCAACAAGAATAAATTCAAAACTGACCGTTAAATGGAAGATCACAAGCGCAACGTGCGCAACGTGCGCAACGTGCGCAACGTGCAAGGAGAGCTTCCTAGACGTCTGTTGCCGGATTTTGGGGTGTGGGGAAGCAAGACCCTTAGTGCTGAATCCTGGGTTGACTTGTTGGCATCCCCGGATCCGGAGCGGGCAGAAGTCCAGCCAGATTCCGGCAAGCGTGCGGAATCTAACTGTGCCCCATAGCTGACCGCCAAGAGAGTACAGGCCGCAGTGATGCCCTTGACGTACGTATTGGCGGCCAGGGCCAAAACGGACCCGGCATGCTATTGATAATTCCCTGCATGTTCCCTACAGGTCCAAGGGGCCCATTGAGGGCTGCACCAAAGACCAGCCATGTCTTGAAAACCGGTGGAAATCTGGGGTACGACAACAAGGGCCAGGCCCGCTCAATGAAATTACCCAAGTCGTTTGGTTGGCGTTCAAACCCAAAGAAAGCCTGCAGATTTCTTGGCAAATTGCTGCTGCCGGACTGGAGTAAGGGAACCCTCAGTACAGGAACCTCCAGGTACTTTGATGGGATGAGGGGTCCAAATCCTATAGTAGCAACCCTCACTAGGTCCCTTAAAGTGGCGAAGGCGAGCAGTTTGAGCTGTTCTCAAAATTACTTTTGGGGGTCCACTCAACAGCTGTTCTGCAAATGCAAATGCCCCCAGCCTGCGTAAGCTGCATCGACGCAAGGCGCGTCAAGCCTGGCGCGAGCTTGCGTGAAAATAGCCCTCCAGGCTCGCTCTGAGCGGCTGTACCAATGAGAGAACCCCGGATCAATAAACCCGTCCTACCAATAGGCGGGTGTCAACCACGAAAATGATGGATTCCCTCATAAGAGGGGACAGTGGAATTCATCCGGGGTTGACATTATATCGCCTTGCCTATCTGCAACTCATTTTTCCGTGGATTCACCAAAAGGCATCTGCCCGGATTCCCCAAAGTGTCCAAAGTGTTGGGCCAAATGGTCCAAACCCAAGTGAAGACACGTCAGAAACTCAGGAACAGGCAAAATCAAGCAGCACGCCCATATAGGGGCTTCCATGTCGAGGGTTTGGTTCCCTTTTGAACTTGAATGGGCATATGAGCCCTACCTTCCTTCAGCCGCGGCGGGGATTTGACACCCTGTACAGTTTCTAGAGCAATCCACAACGGCCAACCAACCCGCACCACCAAATCGGTGGGCATCACGGAATCAGGGTTCGCCCTCTGACATCCAAAGGGGTCGACATGAACCAGCTTCCAAGGAAGGCCATATAAACCCGCCCAAGCGTTGGTGTCTCCGAATCTGTGGATTTGACAAAACTTGTTTCGGTCTCCTTGTGGCCCCCTTTCCTCCCGCCACGAGGGCACGGGCACCTGCCCTTCAATGAACCAAGAAGATTCCACACACACACACACACAATCTGCGGTTGCCGAACTGAAACCCCCAAGCTCCAAGAACACACACACACACACACAGACGTGTTCGGAGCCCTGAAACCCTCAAACCAGACTGCCATAAAATGCCATGGGTTGAAGACAAAAAATGAGGGGATCCCAACAACGGCGTCGGGTTTCTCGCAACAGGGGGCGCCCCTTACCTCCATGTGCTTCGACCCCTGGGAACAGTATACAATATTTCCAGTGATAGATTCCCTCTAAGACCAACAGGGGAAGTAAAGCATAGTATTCTTCGCCAATGGAAGCCACCCTATGGTATATGAGGAAGATCAAGAGATACGCACTGAGAAAGGAGTTGCCTTTTGCTGGAACAAGGAGAATCCGCCAGCATTTCAAGGGGCTTCCCTTAAAGCCAGCCACAGCCCAAGAAGGGGCCTTCCAGGAGTTCCGCCGCCATGACTTGCACCTGGCGGGCGATTCGGGCGGTTCTTGGTGCGATGTGGGAAGCCATCTTGGGGTATCGTCCAATGGACCCCAGACGATCCCCCAAAACATTGAGCAGCTTCCATTTGGCTTCCCAGACCAAGCAGAAGGTACCCTCAAAACACAAGCATTGGTCGATGCGCCGGGGAGTAACAGCTGTTTTGTGTTCCGGAGTCGTTGCGTTTTCCGCCCGAAACTCTACTTTTACTCTTGGGGATCACGGTCTTGGGAACACAACAGGGGCATGGAAACCTGGATATTGGATACTACGGGATCGCTTGGAACCTCATGTTAGCAATAATGATGGCTCTTGTTCTGAAGGGCAATTTCTGGGAAGGAAAGCCCACGTATGGAGCCATATAGAGGGAGCAAGTTTCAGCCATGATCGGTAAGCATTGAAGTAGTGGCGACTACTGCCTATTTGCCCCTATGGCTCAATACCCCGGTTGTCAGTCCAATAAATTGTTATGACGGCAAGGAATTTGACCAATGATCTATGCATGAGATTCCCCACATTGATATCACGAGAATGCTAGGTTTTGCCCAAAACGAGCTTTCAGAGGGCCATGCGCGGCACATAGCCACGCTCTCTACCCAGGGGGATTTGCTCACATGTTCTCCAAGAAGCACTTGGTCTTCTTGACAAATACATGCAGAACACACAAGCCCTCGGCACAAGTCCTCCAGAAGAGAGCATTGTCAAATCCAAATTGGCGCAGCCCCCAAAGTACGGGCTCCCAGAAAAACATCTTCGTCATGGCTCAGTTGGTTACAAACTGAGACCTTGAGGTATCGTTTGCCCAGAAATGATCACTTTGGTGAACATGAGATTTCATGTCCACAACCACTTTTGAGGTGGTCCCCTTCTGCAAAATCCGTTGACAGTTATGCCATTGACACAGAAATCAAGGGGTTGGCATACATGCTTTTGCTCACCAGCCCTCTAGCTTGGCCCAATTCTGGCGTCGCCCAGGAAAACATATTTCAGGTTCTGCTTAATATTTAGGTCGGATGTTGGCCTGTTTGCCCTCAGCAACACCATGTCACCCCCAGCCCCGCGATCAGACTCGCCTCGGCCGCCTGGCTTGTCGACAGGCCGGTCGAAGAAAGCATTAGACTTCTCAGGAAAATGCTCGGCCAAGCAAGCATCCGTAGGGTATTGACAAACAGGATCCGGAAAACCAAAGCGAACTATCACTAAACATAAAATCGTGCTGTTCTGCATAATTCCAATACATCCCTCTCAGTTTCCTTTTGAGACATTGACGATAGAACAATTGACACCCAGGCAAGCTAGCTTACAACCCGAAGTTCCGCATTTGGAACTCTAGGTTTCTGTGCCGGTTCCGTACTTGAAAGCTTGCCCCAGATGCAAAGCAGCTCCGAAGTGCACCCCCCTTCGGAAGATGTAATTATAAAGCCTAACCTTTTCGTGCACCACCCAATGACAAGAACAGTCTAAAGTCCAGGCACTCAGGGAGTGAGCCCGCTTTTTCAGCCGAATTTCTGGAGCCAGCCCAACTTCCTCGCTCCAACTTTCGGGACACATCGCGGCGCCGGGCCTCGGAGCCTGCGCGGCGCGCCAGCCTCAGGGTCGTTGGGTGTGGAAGGG